AGAAATACTGAATTGACAGCAAGGCGATCTGAGTGTTTCCCGCCATAACGCTTTCTATGTGCAAAACGTGCTTATGTTTGTATGTTTATTACAAAAAATGGCACAATAATCATTAATTGTCAATTTTGTCATTAAATACTATATCAAATACAAAATAAGTAGCACCATTAAATTTCTTGTAAAAAACTGGTTATTATGAAGTTATCTTAATATTTGTAAGTTCAACCGTTTGGTTTCCTATAGCGAACAAATAAACAAACTTCCTCTTTTATATATGTAGATTTTAAACCAAGTGAACTGTGTTGCTGTTTGTTTATTGTTGAAATTTATCGCCAATAAATAACAGACACATACTGTAAAGAATCCGGCCTACAAAACCTAACAGTAGCAATATGGCTTCGGACTTCCAACTACAAAGTGTCAACAGAAGCCAAAATGCTAATGCTTCAACAAAAGAATTGTAAACTATGTAGAAAACGTTAAAAGCAGAAGCAGCTGTGCTGTAACTATATAAACACATCACAAAAATAGAGGGTTTGGCGGAACCCCTCTAACCTCCCTTGCGTACGTGCGTGATATGTATATATATATATAATATAGATTTCTATGTTTTGAAAATAAACAGTTTGTTTCTTACACAATGTTTAGTAAACTGATAATAGAAACCCGTAAAGCTCGTATTTGAATGATATGTTAGTATACACAGAAGTTTACTGTCGTTTAAGAGATAGATGTATGTTTTCTGAAACTGCTAAAAGTTTGTTTGAGAACATTTCATCTGTTACACAAAGTAGAAGTTTTTTTCACCAAGCTGATAGTTTAAAAGACGAGAATAGTGTTTTAAATAGCACAACAGTGACGAGGACAAAATAGTATGTGGACGGTTCTCTTTTCGTTTAGCTGCGTAATGTGAAACTTCGAAACTACTTGAATTATCGTAGTCATGAGAGACATGTCTTTAACGCAGGAAGTGTTTGTATAACAATATTAAACTTCTGTTTCCATATTCTAACATTAGTTAGCCAAAACATTTAATGTATTTTTAGTCTTAAGGGCATTTCTGTCGCTGAAAAAAACAACAACTCAATTTCATTTTTAAATTAATAATTGATAATTAACCTGATAACTATGGTCTCTTACTAAAATTTCAATGTTTACAGTATTCGAAACCAATAAAAAATCAACTACATCAATAACCTCAAAATAATGTTCTACTAACATTCAAAAAGTTAAGATTATTTTTATGGCTTAACGCTTACATAAAAGTTTCATGTTTGTTCGCTTAACGTTAAAGATCAAATAAAGATCGTGGCTGAAAGCCGCCAGAACGTGACAACACAAACGCAGCTGTTCTTGTCTGAAAACACTGTTGGTGGTGGTTTGGTATTATTGCGAAATATGTACTTTCAGTCAATAATATCTTTAGCTCCAATATTTTCGTGGAACTTAAAACATCACGGCGTGAACTGTAAATACAAAAGTCAGTATTTTTATATTTTTAGCCTCCGCTTACTTGGTGTAACATAAGTTGACGAAATATCACAATTAATGATTAAAATCAATCAGGTGAAGGTAGAGACAAAACATAGAAACTTTCCAGTTAGTACACTATCTAAAAGTATCTTCAAATATAACAGTATGTATGATGGTTGATCGTCACAGTACTTTATTTATTTCTAACTGCAATATCCGTTGTAGCTTTACACATGTTAAGTTCATATGTATTCGCGATTTTTGTCATGTTTCAATATACCCATTATTAAGGAAAAAGAAGAAAGACACTCTCACGTGTTGTTGTTTGATTGAAGAGGACACATATCGGTGTCAAAACTTGTATCCATATTAACTTCTTGTTATTCCATGGTAGTCGATCTCGACTTTATTCTAGATTATACGGTATCACATATTTGTCTATTATTGTATTGGAGTACATTTGAAGGTATCAATATTATATATATAATTCATCTTCAAAAAAAAGGTCATTCTGTTTAATTTTTGGCTCTTTGTTGCGCAGATAGTGACTAATTAGAATTGGCGCCCATTTTCACCTTTATTTCGTCATGAATGCACTGCCTCAATTATAGATTAAAGAAAGACCTATATTTATTTTTTAACATAAATTATTTATCATTTTATGAAAATTAAAAGGTTTTAAACGTATTTTTGAAATTATTTTGAGTAAAATTAACTGGGATATGTTCATTAATTCCTATTCAGATGCCTAGTGGCAAGTTGTACAGGACAGAGTTCGTTATGTTAAAACGATTTTGAAATATGCAAATCAAGTCACGTGATAACCACAGCCGATATAAAATCGCTGTGGAACTGTATGTATCAGAACTATGTTTTGATACTGGTTTGGTAGATAGTGTGATACCAATGAAAACTGATCGTTTTTGGAAACGGTATGTAACAACTCAAGCAGATGGAGAATGAAACGAGTATTCATGTTCTTCCATATACGAAGATATGCACTTGAAGTCGCTTATGGATTTTTGTGCGATCAGACTCTGGAAACGGACCCCATGAAACCGTCATCATTGTACACTAGATGGAATATGGAAAGCAAATAGCGAGGGGTGGTGTGCTTTGAACACGACAGCCTTTTGCAATGGAAGCTACGCTACAGAACTATCGTATAGATGTACAGTCGTTAGACAGAGCACGACCAGACGTGGCAACACGGAGTGTAAAGAAGTGGTGAAACTCCAAAATCGTTTTAATATAGCGAACTAAACCTCTCTAGACTTCTTACAAATATGTTGTTTAGGCATCTAAAGCCTTAATTTTTTTTCATACAAGACAAGCAATACAATGCTTCTACTAAAGGGTCAGTGAGCACGTAGATTATCATATTTTAAATTGTAAGTAAAATTTTGATGGTTATAACCTAAGCAGTGTTATTGAAGAAAATATTTGTTTGTTTATGAATTTCGCGCAAAGCTACTCGAGGGCTGTCTGTGCTATTCATATCTAATTTTGAAATGATAGACAAGAAGGAAGGCAGCTAGTCAACACCACCCACTGCTAACTCTTGGTCTACTCTTTTATCAACGAAAACTGGGATTGAACGTCATATTATAACGTCCCCGCGGCTGAAAGGGCGAGCATATTTGGTACCGAGATTTGAACTCGCGATTCGCAGATTGCGAGTCAAGCATCCTAACCACTATACAGACCATGCCAGGCCCAGAAGGAAAGGATTTTGGTGTTTTGATTGATCAGGTTCATAAGATATTCATGCTGTTGTTCGTGGTGGGGCAAATGGTATTTTAGCTTCATTTGTATTACAGAGATATTGAATATAAGTCTAAAGAGGGTAATAAATTCATTGCATAGATCACTGGTTAGGCCTCATTTATACTCATTTAAGTATTCAAAGAGGGCTACTAGGATGACACCTGGAATGGAAAAGTTGTCATACAAGGATAGGTTAAGATCTTTGAAATTGTTTTATTTTGGAAAAAGAAAAATTAGATTGGATCTGATGGTGGTGTTTAAGATTGTCAAGGGAATTGGTAGTGTTGATGCATCATCTTTTTTCGTACTTAATGGTTGGAATGGTAGGACAAGGCGACCAAAATATAAATATTTGCAAGGTAGGAGTAATCTTTAGCTAAGATAGTTTTAACTTTCTAGCGGATTGGTTGGCCTGTGGAATTAGTTGCCTTCACATGTAGTACATACAATAAATTGAAGGATGTTTAAAGAAAGGTTTGACAAATATCAAAATGGAAAAAAAATGGCTTGGATTTATTTTTTGTTAGTTAAGTTGGGACACTCTCGATTGACTAACAACGTCCTTGTTTTGGTATAGTTGAGCGGGAAATTACAAATATATATATATTAAATTAGAGAAATAACACAGGAGTTATAAAATCTGATTTATCTGGTATTACAGATAGGCGTATCTTCGGTATAAACCTGTATAGAGCAGACCAGGACATGACATATAGGAAAGTGGGTTTGTCTGCCATCGCAGTCATACTCAGTCTCTCTTGTTTATAAAAATATCTAACTTATAAACTCACATTTAATGTTACAAATTATTACTCGAAACAGTTACATAAAACGTTAAACCAATAAGATAAATACTGTGACGACAAGACAACAATACATTTTATAGGGAGATTAACCAAAAAGTAACAGATTTTACGTTAAGTTATATACAGAAAACATAAAAATACTGTATTTGTTACTTAAATGTATGTATTTTTGTGAATTACAATGTGTTTAGCTACTTAGTTGTTAATTGAAAATATTTATCTAATTCCAGATTTCTTGGAAGAAAAATAAAATATGACGATGATTTATTTATCTGCATTGGTTCTGTGGTTGCACTTGTTTTCGGTGGCGCCGGTAACAGTTGCAGATATACGTCCCGAATCAACTCTGGAGTGCCACAAGCGATTGTACACCTTTAAAGCTACAAGAACAGACAGCAAAGGGCGCCAATGTTGGGATTATTTGAATGCAATGTCCTGTTGGGGACGATGCGATTCTGGAGAGGCAAGCTTTCATTAATTTATGCTAATATTAACCATAGGAATTAGAAATACACCCTACTGCTTATGATTTTTAATTAAGTTATAATTACTTTAAAGTAAGACTGTTTCTTCTTTGTTTAAAATGTTCAACCATTTGAAAAACTTTAATTTGTGTTGTTTAAAGTATTAATACGTATATATATACTTTGTAATTTAAAAATGTTATAAGTTTTCAATTAGTTCTAGTAGGTATCGAAAGCATTGCTATATATTTTAGATCAATAAAAACCTAATAGATTAACGATAGAATATAATAACATTTACACAACATTTTAGTAAGAAACGAAATCTGAAAATTGCAGCCGTAAAAGAAAGCGTTATGTAAAAGTAAGATAAAAAAAAAAACGGAAACATAAAGAAGAAAGAAAAGAAAATTCAACGTGACTAAAACATAGAAGTTTAATTCCGAGTCGTCTATCTTGTATACTGTCTTTGATGATGCGAGGACAGGATAAAACAGTACAGTGGTATTTTAGATTTCTTCTTAAAGCCTTATTTTAGATATAACTTATATAATTAATATAATGTATTTTTCAATCTTTGGTTGTATACTAACCAGACGTAATGACTAGCTCGAGTTTCATCACATAGAACAACCGGATATGTGAAATTTAACCACATCATATATTGACTAACACTTTAATTAAAAACGTTATACTAAACTTAAATGTGCTAGTAGAGAACGTTATGATAACAGTATTATTTGTATTACTGTGACGTAATTTCATGTTATCACCTTGAAAGAATTTGTAGTTTTCAGTCTTAGGCTGTATACGCCATAAGACTTTTATATCGAAACTTTTTTATGATAGCCACATTTCGAACACACGCTGAAATAATTTTTCTGCCATTTTCACTAATCTTTGATTGTATAACGTAATGCAATCATAAGTTTAATTAACTAATTGAATTAGATAAATTTAAATTTAAAATTCAAATACGAGTTTCATTTCATGGCTTGAAATATCATATTAACTTAAAATGTTTTCTCAGCACTCAACATTTGAGCGTTTAAAAGCTATTCTATATATATATCCCTACTTCAAAACTTCACTTGACCAAATTATTTAAACAATGGGATCTCATACATTGTATAGAGCTGGGAAGTTAGATTATATAGTTTACAACAAATAATGATACAAAATGAAATGAAAACTAAACGATAGGGCGTCCATAGTGATATTAACAGCTGGAGACCCATGTTCTATTGTGTTAACATATGATCAATCGCATAGAAAACTGCTGTACACAGCGCCAGCTAAAAGCATTTAAATGTCTTGCAACTGCAACACAGGAACAACAGTACTTATTTGGTTCTACTTTCAACTTCCTGCACTGAAACAAATGAGGATTTAATCAATCAACCTTGTGTTGTAGGCGGCGCTAGATAGGGTAGTAATAACCATTAGAAGAAATAAGAACACGAAAACTGTATACAACTAAAATAGCACGAAATATTGCAGTCATTAAATGATAAAACAATAAATATAATAAAATAAAGTGGACGTTTACTACACCTAAATTTATTTGACCAAATGACTTTTCAACAGTACGAGAATACTGGTCCCAAGATGAAAATCAACGCCCAGTTTCGAAGTCTCAGGATGACTAAAATAATCCAGTTTATTTTAGCGACATATACAGATGTATTAGTTTGCATGTTTCAAAGAAATAAGTATTGATTAATCAGTGTAAGACGGCGATAGGAAATATAGAAGATAGACGTCTAAATTTTATAAACAAGTCTTTCCATCGTTTTATTTCAAACTTAAGAATCGATTTGAAAAAAAAATTGGTATAATGATATAAACATTAAACACGTTGTACTTTGTGGATATTCACTGTCATTAAAACTGCCCTACTATATGGCTATACAAATCAATAATATTAATATATGTGACTTAATTTCTGCTAAATCTCATTGAATCTGAGATCCAGAATTTGCTTTGGGTATAATCAAATAGTGAGAACTATAGTTTTAAGACTGCTTTGGTTGTCTTGTGAATTGATATTTCACTGACTTAATCAACTGCATTAGTTCTCCCAACCTCATCCCAAAACATTTGTTTCTTGTTAAGCACAAAGCTACACAATGAGACATGCGTACTGTGTCCACCACAGGTATCGAAACCCGATAGTTTTAGCGCTATAACCCTTCAGACTTATCTCTCAGAAAGTGATGTGCAGGCATACCATGTGTTTGCTAACCTCATTTTAATATAGAATGTTTCAATTTTTTTCATTTACTAAGGTGTGTGTGTGTGTGCAGTAAAGAAAGTTGTTGAGTTCCTTTCACTCTAGCTACCTATTTGTCATTCACATAAGAGACAACCTTTATTTCCCTTGAGGAAGGTTTCTGCTAGGTTACACAAGCTATATGTAAATGTAGACAGCGACCTTTTCCATTGGCAAGTCAGGTGATATCTAAAGGCTACAAAAGTATATAACACGATGTCTTCTCAGACTGGAACAACAGGTAGGGACTCTAAAGTTTTTAACTTAAATATATAATTCATGAGCTTAGAGAAATATTAGCTTGTCGATTTTAAATTTTTTAATTAAGATATAATTTAGCTTAGAGATCTCTCTCTCTCTCCAGTAGAGGCAACTGTCTTCCATTTTGTGGTGGAACATCTGGTAAGTTGGAGATTGTATGTGGTGGTCTCTTTAGGATACCCCATTCTTTGCAGGCTAGAGTACTCACCCCCATCTCTAGTTGAGGCCACCAAACTGACCAAGAACGACTGGGGACGCCACTGGTGCACGAATTCTGCCAGCTGGAACTTTTTCCCCATCAGGTGATACATCTGCCACCAACAAGTTAAATTGGAGATCCATGGTGCAGTAATGAATCTCTCCGTACCGGGGATTATCCTGCCAGGCTGACCATGGAGAAGCAAATCACTCACAGAATGAAGATAGTCTTCTCCAACTTGACATTCCCGGAATGGACATACTGCCTAAACTGTTGAATTTTAGCTGTGAAACAGATGAACTGGTGTCATGTGGAAGAGTTATCCAATGCTTCCCAGACTAGTCCCAGGAACGGTAGACTGTACAAGTGTATGTGACATATACTTAAATGATGTTCTATGGTCTACTATAAGGTCTAGTACATTGGCATAATGTAACGTGATAATATAACAACTGCATGAAATGCACTGTTTTCTGTCCAGAAAATAAGCAGCATTAATTTGAGCAATTATATGTCCAAGGACAAATGAAGTCCTGGTGTTATTCTGCAGTTATGTGTGCTTGGTTATCCAAATTTCTGTTAGAATGGTCATGAATACGGTAAGTAAATTTGAAGTGACCAATGTTATCAGTGGTGCTAGGATTTTAACCATTGGGTTGTAACCCTCTGTAATCACAGCTAAACTGACTAGGATGAACACTTGCTGTACATCATGATGACACAGAGAGTAAATGAACAGAGATCAACAGGTTGTTTGCCAAATATGCTCATGTTTGAGTGCAAAGTCCTGCTCCATGTAAACATAATGTATGGTCCTTCCCCTAAAGCAGACGTCACACAACGTACACAAGAATACGTGTAGTGGTTAAGATGATGCGCACAAGTTTTGCACCTGAACAATAAGGCGGCCATACAATATAAGAAGTAGTATGAGAAGACAGTCAAGAACGAACGTACCAGTGTGGTGGTTATAGTTTTGGTTTGTGCCAGTTTCAAAGAAGCTACTTAGTTCTGACAGGACAGTTCCTTATCTTGTACCTTGCCACATTGATCTCTTGACATACAAGTTACAGCAGCCGAGAGGCACATAAAAGCACGTGAAAAACAGTAATAAGCTGTGACCAAATGTTAAAGACAAACCTTTAATTCACTGGCTTGACCAGGAATCAAAGGTTGAGACTGATGAGTCAGATGAGGACAAGACTCAGCTGATGAGGAGGAAAGAGTTCAAAGTACATATCTGGCCTTGCATAATGAGCCACATGTAGAAGCAACAGAGTTAGAGGTGAAAGGAAGCTCTGACAGTCGGCCAAGCTGCTACCACCATCGATGGCCTCTTGACGTATACAGCTGGAACTAACTTTATTAGCAACTAAAATGGTCATTTGGTTGAAATACGAGTGACTGAAAGAAAGTGGCGTTCCTTGCGTCTCGCGCTATCAGACGGCATTTTTCAGTATGATATATAAACTATACTGTGTACGGTAATTCTCAGTACGATATATGCACTATACTGTGTACGGTATTTCTCAGTACGACATATGTGTGATTTCTACTTGATTATCAAACTTCGGGACGGTTTGTTGCTCGTAAGATCAAATGAATCATAAGGGTTTTATGCCCATTACTTTCTGAGCTATGGAGCAGCAGAGTTTCACTTCAAGAGATATCTGCAGGATATCAAACAATAGCTGCTCGATTATCACATACTTTAGGAAGGCTTGTGCTAGTAGAATTAATGCCTAGAACAGTTGGCACAACTGCAAATATTATCTAGGAGCTAGAAAACTCAATTGAGTGGGTTTTCAAACCCTTATTTTATGTAAGTATAGTTGAGTGGCTGGAGTTTTTCAGCACACTTAAGTTTGTATATAACTGCACGTGGAGGAAGTTGAGCTCCTCTGAGTGTGAATATAAATGATCAAGTTATATATATATATTGTATTTTATAATAAATTTAATCTCTATTGTAGTTTTATGTCTTAAGACATTATTTCCAATGCATATATGCTTTTTTACTAAGTTTTTTTACTTTTTTATTGTGTTCACGTTAATTTTTATTATTACATTTAATATTTTGATTGTTTTGTATGTTAAGAGTTTTTTTTTATCTGTTTTCTGTATTTTATGAAAAGTTTTATCAAATATAATTTTATGTTTTATATTTATATCTTTATGTGCCTTTTTTTGGTATTTCTTTTTATTTATTATTGTGTACTTTTTGATGCTTGACTGACCGAAGATTATTTTAGTATAGTTTAATGTATTTGTAACTTATAATGATTTTACGTCAAATGATTTATTTTCGTAAGTTCGATGCATTTTTTATTTAACATTTTGAATATGTGTATATGTATTTCGGTTGTTATACTTTTTTATTATATGTCGGTAACCTCTGTGTGTAAGTTTGTGAACTTACATACTTCTGTATTAAAGGATATTTTTTATTTTGTACTTTTACGTTCACTTAAAGGGTTTGTATTGTGATATTGTGTTACATATGAATTTTTTTATTTTGCATCAGGTTGAATTACTTATTGGGTCATATATTTGTTAAAGGGCTATTTTTGTGTTGCGTGTTTTTGATTCTGTGTTAAAGGGTTTTTTTTGTAATGTAGACCATTGTTATCTTCTTTAATAGTGTAATTGGCCAAATAGCATCTTTGTAAAGGCTTTAAATTAAGTATTGAATCATTGTGTCGTCTGCGTTGCCGTGTAAGTATTTTTACAGGGAAAAAAGAAGGTTACATCGATTACATAACCAGTAACAGAGTAAAGTTGATTGGTTTTAAATTTTAAAATTAGAGCCCAAAAAATACAGCCTGAAAGTAAAGGTGGGGAAGGTAGTTTTTTTTTTTAATTATGCACAAAGCTACACAAGGGCTATCTGTGCTTTGCCCACCACGGGTATCGAAACCCGGTTTCTAGCGTTGTAAGTCCGCAGACATACCGCTGTGCCACTGGGGGGCGGGGGAAGGTAGTAGACACGTGGTATGCAGTCATACCACGTGTTTATTACTCCCGTTCTAATATAGAACCTATCTGATTCACTCTTGAGAGAAATAAGTTTTATTGAGAATACCACTACAATAGCCTTAATAACATTTAAATTGTTATATTCCAAAATTCAAATTCCCTTCTCACTCATCAAAAGAAATATGCTTCTTAAGTACATGAAATATTATCCTGCTGATTAAGTACTGAGTGAAAATATAAAAACGCTCATTAGTATCCCATGTTTTAGCTTAACAAGTCTCACATTCGACTCTTCTTATAGATTTCATAGTATGTGTGCTGCGTTAAATGTCCACACCACTCTCAGTGAATCACTATTTATTTTTGTATAGAGTTTTAATGACGACATGAAACGTACAAGTTAGCGAAACGAGAATGTCTCTTGGGTCTAATAAGATATTTTAGTGGGTTAAAAACCATGTTTTTGTGCAAATGTTCTGAACACATTAGCTAGCCCATTACATGTTTCAAACCAGTGATATTTGAAAAGCATATGTTAAATATGCCAAGATTCACTATGCTTACGCCGTAAGGCTTACGGCATGGTTGTTTCAATTTCACATCAATCGTTGTCATGTTTAATAACCTATGTGATCACCTAAGTGATTAATTAGTTATAATTTTTTATTACTAGATACTAATTGGTTTATATTTTATATTTCGGTTCCTAATTTGCTGCTGTTTTTTATAAAAGCCCTGAGAAGAACTATGTTATGTTTCATTGCTTTCAGGTTTGGCTGACTTCTGTGTGTGGTTCATATCCCATCATTTTGTATTATTCCATTTTATTGTATGGTCTCCTTCTGATATGGTGGGCTACTGCAGTAAGACTGGTATTACAGAGATTGTATGCTATTCCGACTTCCGTTGATTGTTTGTTTCTCTAATGAGATAGAGTCCACATTTACAAGGGATGCTGTAAATAATGCTTCCGCTCTCCACTGGTGATTTCTGTTGTGGCTTTTGATTGCTATACTGACTTTATGCTGTTTACATATCCTCTGTATTTGTTCAGTTCGACCTTTGACATAGGGAAATATGGCTATGTATAAGTAATTTTCTTCCTGCTTATTCTTAGTATTTATTTATTTGTTCTTTATAAAGCGATCAGACTATCCATTAACAATAAAGGTTGTAATGACGTGTTTTTCTTACTCCTTCTTAGCTCCTACTGTGTTTATATTTTCATACAGGGCAGTCGGTGATGTCCGTCTTTACTCTGTTGGGGTGGTTTGATTTATAATCGGGGTATTTATCAGTATCTGTGAGTTTCATGTAAACTGCTATGGTATATGAATTATTTGTCATTGTTTATCTTCTTCTACTTCCATTGTGAATTGTATCACTGGATGTTGTTTGTTCAGGTAGTTCTTGAATTCTGGAATATTGTCTCTTGTATTGGTGTGTGTGTGTGTGGTCATGTACGAATGTGTCGTCTACATATCTCAGCCAAATCCTAGAGAAATAAAAATACAAACAAGAGGGAATCCTCAATAGCCGCGACACTTGAAATTCTTTTAAGCAGGATTAGAGTAAATTAATCTAAGTGACCCTCCCCCCTGTTCATTAGCTATATTTTTGTGCGCCAACAATACCAAGCGTATGGCGCGCGTATACCCGATTCAGTTTTATTGCTCATTAGGATCTCTACCAGCCTACCCTCAAATTGAAATTATTTTAGGCAAGGTTAAAGTAAATTAATCAATGACACCTTGGGCGTGGTCAAATAATCAATCGAAAGGGATCTCAAATCGGTAAAGAGATTACGGAGCTATGAGATAAAAGTTTATACTCCAAAAAAGAAACAGAAAAAACTCAGAGTCGTTCTATGAGCCACTATGCCGCGGCTAAAAAAGCTTTTCTACCTAGAAACTCCAGGATCGGATCTCGACCAACACCACCTCAAAACACAGTCCTGTTTAGAAATACAATGAAGACGCCAACAATTTAGCAACCGAAACGTAGGATATAAACTAGTCGTAATTAGTATCTAACTAGTAATAAAAATAGCAATTAATTTATAATTGGACTTATATGATCACATGGGCTACTAATCATAACGGATATCTGTCAAGTTGTATTAAATACAATGTTAGAACCAGTACAACAATATTTAAACGTTATTGTAGGCATTTTTCTAAATACTATACAAGTACCAATACAACAATACTTTAAAAAGATATCTCAAACGTCGCACAATATCATACTACTGAGATAAATATCTCCCACCGGCATTGTCGTATTAATTCAAAAGGAAACGATATCACATAATAAACTAGGGCGTGCACTCCATTCACCAAAAGTTAATTATTTGGTCCTGGGGGAGTGGCACTCAACCTATGCATCCAACTTAACCAAAATCAGATAAAGACTTTTTGAGCTATACATGTTCACATATATACACACACACACACACAGAGAAGTGAAAATAACAAACTTGTCACCTGTCAAAGGTAAACATAATAGTTATAACAGTGTGTTTCCTAAGGCAAAATTTTTCCTAGTAAGATTGTTTATTTATTGTTAAGCAGGAAACTATACAATGGACTCTCTGTGCTCTGCCTAACGTGGGTATCAAAACCTGATTTTTAGCGTTATATGCCCACCCTCAGACTTACCGATGAGCCACCGGGGGGCTTTCTTGGCAAAATTAAAATACCAGGCTTTCTCAGCACGTAATAATTTTTCTTTTTAAGTAGTTGAATGAAGTAACATATAAGCATTTTTGGTCCTGTATGGTGCGAAAGCATCCGATAAATACAATAGTGAACATGATAAAAACTTTTAATTTTATACGTCTATAACTGACTAAATCTCATTATGATTCTTAAATAAAATAACGATTTTCCTTATTGACGTTGCATCCATGAACAGTGTAACTCTGTTAACGATTTTCTTATTGACGTTGCATCCATGAACAGTGTAACTCTGTTAACGATTTTTCTTATTGACGTTGCATCCATGAACAGTGTAACTCTGTTAACGATTTTTCTTATTGACGTTGCATCCATGAACAGTGTAACTCTGTTAACGATTTTCCTTATTGACGTTGCGTCCATGAACAGCGTCACTCTGTTAACGATTTTACATCCAGAAAAAACAAAACAAACATTTTCTAAATATTAAAACAATTGTGTGAAGCCTAATCTATTATTCATCTTACCCCTTGTCACTGAGTTATACAGGTTTCAGGAAAATCTATCCCTCGTCACTATATCTGGACAAGGGCAAATCGGAAGAATAATACCAGGCCTCATATAGTCCTGAAGTGTGTATTATACGTATGGTGTTTTGATTGAGTAAAACGTATCACAACACCGTACATTTTCTTAATAGATGCATTCCATATTCTTAGTATTAAACAACAATGTCTACATAATTATATAATTATTTAGACTTATTGTACTAAATTTCAGGTTTCGTTGAAATATCAGAAACCTAATTTATATTACATTTCATGGCATACATACTATTTGATATTTTAGTCTGCTGGTAATTCTGTGTGATGCATTTTATCCCCACGTGAGCGTAATCTGTCTGTATATATATTTTATAGCCTTCTTTTCACAGGTGGTTCAATCTTGCAAATTTTCATGAGCACGTGTTATATACAATAACACCTAACCATTTTTGTAACATAATCAATGTTTCATAGAGCTTCAGCTATTGATTGTCTTAAATTACAAGCTAATGCTTTTTTAACAAGAAACAAATGTTATGAATGACCTTCTTGTTATATCTTAAAAACATAATCAATGTTTCACTCTTTTAGATTGCAGATTGGCGATTTCCTTACAAGAGGTCTTATCATCCTGTGTGCATGCACGACGAAAAACGACTGAGAAAAGTGACGTTACGACACTGCGACTTAGATGGCGAACCTCAGCTCCGAGACTACCTCTTCTACGAGGCCGTGTCTTGTTCATGTCAGATTTGTCATTCATCAACAGCAAGTTGTGAAAGTGTTCCATACCAAGCAAACAGAGCTCCGTAGGATTCAAAGAACTATTATTAATACTTGTGAGAGCGTAATAGTGATTTGGTTCTGGGCAATAAAAGATAAATGTTCTGGTTGATAACTGATAAAATAGATTATTTAAAAATATTGTAATGACTAATCTTTCTGGGTTGATTTCGAATATATATGAGTTTATTTACCTTTTCTGTCGTTTTACAAACCTGGCATTAGGGATTTCCACATAATAAAATCATGATTTATCTTGCAATCACAGAAGGCGTAGTTTTTTCTTTTGAGACTCGAACTTATGTATGTATAATCGTATTACATTGTGGGCTCACTGCTGCATTTCCGAATTAGTGTGTAATTTTTTCCACTGAATTATTTATGTTTTGTCTTTCAACCCGAAGCCTGCTTAAGTGTTGGTCCATCAATTCATTTTCTTGTTTGTTTGTTTATTTAAATTAACTATAAAGCGTAAAATATTAGATCATGTCTCATTTTCGAAAGAAAATTAAAATGTTGTTCTTTTCCACATTTAAAGTTGTAACTGTGGTGAAACAAAATCAGTTAAAACTTAATACAGTAGGTGGAATTAAAACTATTTACCTTCTCATAATTAAATGATCTTGAAAATATATAAGTTTGATCCATGGCCTGCTGTTATTTAACTATCACCAAAATCGTTAGGCTAACTTTTACCTTGAGGAATTCAGACTGGATAGCCATCGACTATCATCTCAAGAGAACTACACCATTGAGGTCACTGGAGTTTTGATTAGAGACCCGGCAACAAGTAACATTTACACAGTAATTTGAAACTTTTTCGAAAGAGTTAATATTAAAACTTAGTAGACCAAACGATAGCACAGGATACTATAGAATTTTACTAGTGTTGTGTTTGAGAATGGACAACACGTTAAAGTAATTGGTAGTGCGTGTTCAAAGGTAAAAGCCGTGGGGGCGTTATGATGTGACGGTCAATCCCACTATTCGTTGGTAAAAGAGTAGCCCAAGAGTTGGCGGTAGGTGGTGATGACTAGCTGCCTTCCCTCCAGTCTTTCACTGCTAAATTAGGGACGGCTAGAGAAGATAGCCCTCATGTGGCTTTGCGCGAGATTCAAAACAAATCAAATTTAACATTTTGCAATGCCGTCAAAAATGCATTTTCAGGGGGAAAAAATATGATATCTATACAGAAAATGAAATGAAAGTAGTTGCCGAGCTAGTTCGAAAATCATAAAGCATACTTAAGTTTTCTTTTTAAGTTTCAAAGATGTTCAAGTATGCGGTTCTTTATATTTTATAGATGTTCATCTTTTCTTCCTTTTAACAATATCAATATGAACCTTCCACAACTTTTGAAGCCCCCAATGGTACAGCGGTATGTCTCCGAACTTACAACACTAGAAACCGGGTTTCGGTACTCGTGGTGGGCAGAGCACAGTTAGCCCATTGTGTAGCTTTGTGCTTAACTACAAACTTTCAATGTAATGGAAAGAAAACCTACTAAATAAACGTGCATAAACTAGTATTTTGATGTACGCTTCTTGGTTGTTTTCGTTATTTTTTAAATGTCCGAAACTTACGCGAAACGTTCAGTGTTATACTGCAAAACTATCAGTAAAATATTGATCTTCTTCACTCGATATTAATTCCATCTAGTATTGGGATCGGGTAGTCCTTCTCCACTAATTTATATCCTCCACACTATCTGGCGTTACATTCATCTCTTTCATGTCTTGAATCCAATTATCCCAAGCTTCATGTATTGTATCAGCCAAAACTTTCTACACTCTGGTGGTTAGCTCTAACAGTAACCCTCGTCTTTCATTCGGGCTTGGGACCGGCATGATCACCCAGACTGGAATAATCTCAGCCCAAGCTCGCATGTCAGAATTTAACAGTAAATCCTAGGTCTCATCACAGAAATTGCGTCTTTAGTTTTTAAAAATGCTTTAATATGAAATATCATTTTCATAAACTACCTCTTTATTCAAGTTAAAGTGCTTTAAAAACATATGACCTGTAAGCATTCTCTCTCTCTCTCTCTCATTTAATTTTACAGTTACTTTAAAAAGGCTAATTTACGTTAATGTTTCAAGATAATTACTGCGTAATTTCTACATTATCTTTTATGTGTGTTTTTAATAAAACAACTTTAATATTGATGTTGTCGAATAAGAAGGAGTAATAGAATATCAATTGCAATTTCGTGGCATAAGTTGGGAGTAAAGGAACATAGCAAAATAGAATTCATAATAACTAAGCGAAAATTGTGGAATTTAAACAAATTTTTATCAGTAAAACGCCTAAAAACACAGTTGATAAACTCGCATTGAATTCATAATGAATAATCTTCTCCAAGTCTATTAAAAACGTTTACTTTTTTTGTATTCAGATCAAATGAACTAGACAGTAGACTGTATCAAATGCAAACATTTTTAAACGCTATTATGCTTTATCAAATAAAATGTATAAATAAGGATTTTTTAAGAAAACATCTTTCTAGAATTTATTAAGAAAAATGTTTTCGTTAAGTTAAAAATGCAAGAACCGTTTTAGCCTTCCTGTTGTTTTGGGCATAAGGGGACATTGCATTTGGTTACTATGGTAACATTATGGTATCATTACCTACATTGGTTAATTCTTACTAGAACTTCAAGTATGGTTCGAAACGATGTCGTCATGACTTCGAATCCTGAACGTTCTTTCTCACAAGCACCAGAAGATCGATCCTGATGATGACGTCCGACATTAATCGATCGCCAAACTGTTATTCTCTGGACAAACAATTCCGGTGTTAAAGATAGTAACATCGATCTTCAGCAGATCATTCATTTGAAGAAAGGTTTACACCATCTTATCTAATTTTTGAGTGGTGAACTGCTCAACGAGTTGTGCTTCGAAAGAAAAACAAAATCATTAAATACTTTCTTTCAACGTTATTACTAAATACGTTCTATGTAATATTGTATTGTAATATAGCAAAGTCTGTAGTTGATTGTATAAGATAATGTGATATTAATGTTTAGGTTATTAGTAGATCCATTGTTTTTGTTTACATAATTAAATGATTTAAAGATTTTAAAATGCTTTATAAAATTAACACTTAGGAGAAATATTTTATTTCTATACTAGTTTTATTATGCTTGTTTGTTGTTAAGCGTAAAAGTACACAGTGGGCTATCTGTTCTGTGCTCACCACAGGGATCAAACCCGAATTTTAGCGTAATAAGCACTTAAGCTTACCGCTCAGCCAGGGGCACTAGTTTTATGTGTTTTTTAAATTTTAGAAAAGTCGGTGTCAGTTGTCAATACACTCAAAAGCACGTGATACGCCCACTCCTGAAATAAGAAGTTAGATCGGACTATCTATTGTCTTATACAAAAATTTTAAGTCTTTACACAAAATTACAGAACTCTGAGTTCAAACATCGTGAATCTGACAGAATATGAATTCCCAAAAAACGTCAATCTTCTGAAATAGTATTTTAACCCACTGATTTAGAAGTAACCTTAGATCCTAATTAGTAACCTACATTAGCCTTATCTTAGATCTTAATCATGATTCAGAATTTATGGTGGTTTTACATTTAATTTAATTGTTTGTTTTGAATTTCGCACAAAGCTATTCGAGAGCTATCTGCGCTAGCCGTCCCTAATTTAGCAGTGTAAGACATTTAATTTAATAACCTGGTTTTAAAGTAGTCTCAGATTCTAGGTAGTAAGATAATTTAGATTTTAAACCGAAACTGAACTTTAGATTGATCTAAGATCCTCATTGTAAGCAAAGTTTAAGATTAGTTTTTAGCTCCTGGTTTTTGAGAACTTTCATATCTGAATTAGAAAACTGAGCTAGGAGTTGTGTTAAATTATGTTCAGTAATCTAATTATAGATTATTTTAAATCCTGCTTAGTAACACGAAAGAGACCTAATAATGTTTCAAATTAATCTTCAACTGTCAGTACTATGGACTCAGAATGATCCTAACTCATTATTAGCAACTTAACTTTTGATTATTCATAAATTCTGATTCAAGACCAAATTCACATTTTTAGCCGCGGCATAGCGTCTTATAGAATGGCTCTGAGTTTTTATCAAGTACAAACTTTTAGCTCACAGATCCATCATCTCTTGACTGATATAATTAAAGTTTTCAACTCAGGAGGTCAAACCCTTTTTATTCATTATTTGAACACGCCCAAGGTCTCATAGATTAATTTACTCTAATCCTGCCTAAAATAATTTCAATTTGAGGGTAGGCTGGTCGAGATCCTAATGAGTAATAACATAGAATCGGACATACGTGCGTCCCACTCTTGGTATTGCTGGCGCACAAAAGCATAGTTGGTGTTGATTATTAAGTATAAAGCTAAACAAAGGGCTATCTGTGCTCTGCCCACCATGGGTATCGAAACCCGGTTTATAGCAGTATAAGTCCGAAGACATATCATTATGCCACTGGGGTGCGAAAAAAAAGGCTAATAAAAAAGAAAAAAAAAGTTTAATAAATTAATACACTCTAATCCCGCTTAAACAAATTTTAAGGACCGCGACTATTGAGGATTTCCTCTTGTTTTTAATATATTAAGTAATGGGTTGAAGAACAAATTAAAGTGATGTCATTAACAAAATCGTTCAAAAATCTCGGTGACATTCAAGAGACAGTAATTTCTGGAATAATTATATATCATTCCGTTTAGGTAAGACTTTAAGGAATAGTTGTTGAAGAAAAACTCTCGTTCTTGCAGTAAGAAAGATTACAATTTTAACCACATAATTCTTTATCGATTCTGGACATGTTTCCAGTAAGATGAGTGTATAATAACAGTCCAACAAAACTTTGTTTGTTGTACACTGTTGCACACGAGATCATTCGCTCAATACGGCTGGGTTACAACACATGAAGCCTTTAAATAAGTCATTCTTATTATGGCGTAATATCACACAAGTTATTACTAAAATGTTACATTCAGCCAGCTAAAGCATTCTATGCTCCCACTCTATCACTGACGTAAGTCAGGGATTATTTGATGAAGGTAATCTCCACTTATCCCTAAGGTTTACTGATATTAGAATACGATACCGCACAGTCTCAAGATCTAAACTTTCTTGGATGTTCTTAGTTTAAATATCACAAGTTGTTAAATCCTGGCTACAAAACACCAACAAAAGTTCTTGACTTTCGGTAAAAAAAACAACAACATAAATGGTGTTCTTTATCGTTACTTCCAATTAGTTCCTAATTATAGTGTTTTAGCACT